CTGATCCCTTCGACACCTTATGATCACATAGGCGGGTGTGCTTCTTCCATGTGGGCTTTGTTGCTTCTGAGCTAGATGGCCACTTGTTTATCTTCAAGCCTTTAAGACCCCAGAGGCTATATCTTTAGATAGCCAGACACCATCACCTTTCTTCACCACATTTGCTTATGCACCCGCTTTATCTTCAGGGATTATGTCTGGGAAAGCAAGCATCATGTAATGCTAGTTTAATACAACAAAGTGTTCTTGCATTGAGGGAGTACTTGAATAGAGGCCCAATGTTCTTCTGCTACCTTAATACTAAACCTATACATATATGCACATATATCTATTTTTCCATCATTATATATAAATATATTTACATATGTACATGCCTATATTTAGACCTCTATAAATGCCCTTTGTCTCCTAGTTCCTTCCTCTATTTCCCTTTACTTTCCTCTTGTCCCACTATCATGCTCAGCCTTCATGTGGGTTTCAGTAATTCCTCTTGGTGACATTGCCTTGATCAAGCCCTACCAGACCTCCTACATCCTCCTCACCATTGATTTTGGATCACTTGTTTTTCCCTTGTCCCTGGGGTTGTTAACACCCACTTCTTTTCCCCACCTCCCCCTCTTCCCATGTCCCCCCAGAACCATCTGTCCTGTTGTTTTCTCCTCCAGATTGTTTATCCTGCCTATCTTGTCTATATAGACCTGCAGAGATAATAATATGCACAAAAAACAAGTCAGGATTTGCTCTTCTTCTTGCTTTGCAAAGGATCTCTGTAAAATCTCAATTTAAATCTTTTTGGATCTTGCAAAATATCTAAAGGCTGTTGACTCCCTTTTTAATATTCTAACTTTTTTACTAGGCCTGTTAAGATAAGATAAACCTAAAATAAAATGGAAATAAGTAAATATGATTTCATTCAATACAGGCTTGCTGAGATAGAGCTAATTACTTGAATATAACAATTGATGGTAATATGCAACCTAAATAAAGCACCTCTGTTATGATAAATGTTAGCGTGCCCTGATTTGAAATCCTTGCTACTAAATTTAAATATAGTGGAGAGCCTAGCCAGAAAATACATGATAGGACACACAAATTGATAATATTGTGGGAGCCAAATACAGATCTGTTAGGTGCAGAGAAAATATGACTGATTTTCTCCAAAGGCAAATTTCAGATCTGGCTCTTAGGCAGATAAATATCATAGTTGGAAACTACAAGATTGCATTCTGGAAGCCTCAATTTGCTAGAACAATGCCTGATGCAGTTTGTTTCTGATCTTACTGATAGTTATATCTCCAAGAAAGTGCAGGATATGGTGAAGGAATATGATCCTCCAGAATTATTGTAACCAACAAGAATGAATGGAACTCAGGGAAGTTTTGGCAGGGCGTGCCAACATTCTTTTTTTTTTTTTTTTAAATATAAACAAGATGACGGAAGATAGTGACTAGATTGGAAGAATAAGCTGGTGTACACTTCAGGTCAACCAGAACTTTATTTTACTGTGCAACCCACTTCAGTGCCTTAAGCCTACCAGGTAAAGCCAGGCAATGGTTCGGGGGGACAGTTTGCTTTGGCATGGGACACTGTGAGAGGCCCATGGGATCGGACCTGCCACAAATCCAAACCCATGCACGTGCCAACATTCTTTCAGTGTTCCTATGAATAAAAGAAGAGCCCACGCGTTGCAGTTGGGTGAGAAATCCTGAGCAGTGATTATAAAGCAATTTTGTTTTCATTTTTAATTCCGAAGATCAGAAAAACATTTAAGTATAAACCAAAAACCAACTCGGAAGGTCTGAATGAAATCACTTATTTACTGAGAAAGAAGAGAAATGGAAGCACAATTTTAAAAAGCAAGGTAGCATATAGGCTGATGTGCTCCTTTTGTGTGGTCTTGGGTGACACCTCACTTCCATGACTTCTTGTTTGAAGATAAGACCCTATATGCTATTCTTTCTGATAGCGGGGCACCGTCTACTTTCTTCACCACGCTTTACCCATGTCTTCATGTGCGTGATCTCAATTAGTGGTCTCTTCATGAGCATCAACATCAAGCAGGGCCATAACAACTAAGTGTTCTTAGATTGGAGCTAGGATTGAGTGTGAACCCTACATTCAGTCATATATGTATGGCTTATATGTGTCTCTGGTTCACTTTAGTGACATCATTATCATGTTGTATTACAGACCCTGGATGTGAATAGCCTTGCTGTCATGCAGAATGCAGTGTTTTGTTTTTGTTGTTTGTTTCTGTATTTTTCTATGATTTTTGGATATGAAATATAACATAGGTAAAGCTATATATACGGTAGCTACACTGATGATTTCTTGATGGTTATGCCAGGGGAGGTTGGGGAAATGTGAGAAGACAAACAATGGATACAAGAAAAGAATGCCATGTTACTCCGGCTCAGTTAATACTTCCTGAGTGAGTTTTTACACCCTTATCCAGTTTAACACAAGGCATTTTCATTCATACATTTGTGAAAAAGTAACACTAATGGAAGACGATTTGGGGCATAAATCTAAAGCTTTTTTTCTTGGCTCTTGGGGCATTGATATTTCTTTTAAGTGGTTTTTAAAATTAAAATATAATCTCCATAACATAAAATTCACCATTTTAAAGTATACAATGGAGTGGGCTTTAGGATTCACAAAGTCCAGAGCATTTCTATCACTTCAAAAAGAAACTCCCTACCATTAGGATTCACTCCCTACCCTCACTCCTCCCAGCCCTTGGCAACCTCTAATCTACTTCCTGCCACCATGTATTTGCCTATTGTGGGCATTTCAAATAAATGGAATGATACAAGATGTGTTCTCATTGACTTTTTTTTTCATTTGCTGTTTCAACCTTTTTCCATTTATAGCCCATATTTATTACTTTCTTCTTAGAACAATTCATACATCAATTATACCAAGCATTTTTGTACATATGTTGCCAACATCAATTTCAAAACATTTTCTTTCTATTTGAGCCCTTGGTATCAGCTTCTCTTTCTCCTTTTAACCTCCCCATCCCCCTCCCTGCCCTCATGAACCCTTGGTAAATTATAAAATATTACTGTTTTCATATCTTACACCATCCACTGTCTTCCTTCATCCACATTTCTGCTATTAGTCCCTCTTGGGCGGGGGTGAGGGGGGTGTCAATCCTTGCTATCAGTTCCCCCTCTCTCCCCCTTCTCCACCCAGCTTCCCCCTACCCTCATGGTATTGCTATTCCCGTTACTGTTCCTGGTGGGGGGGGGGGCGCGGTATCTGTCCTGGTTTCTGTGTGTCAAGAGCTCTTATCTGTACCAGTGTACATGTTCCAGTCTAGCCGGGTTTGTAAGGTAGAACTGGGGTCATGATAGTGGGGGGAATGAAGCCTTGAAAGAGTAGAGGCATGTTGTATGTTTCATCAGTGCAATGCTGCACTTTGACTGACTGGTCCCTTCCTTGTAACCCTTCTCTGAGGGGATGTTCTTTTGTCTACAGATGGTCTTTGGGTCTCCACTCTGATCCCACACATTCACATCGATATCATTGTTTTGGGTCTTCTGATGTCTGATACCTGATCCCATCGACACCTCATGATCACACAGGCCACTGTGCTTCTTCCATGTGGGCTTTGTTGCTTTATTGCTAGATGGCTGCTTGTTTAACTTCAAGCCTTTAAGACCCCAGATGCTATATCTTGTAATACCCAGACACCATCAGCTTTCTTCATCATGTTTGCTTATGCACCCATTTTGTCTTCAGTGATTAGGTTGAGAAGGTGAGCATCACAGATTGTCAGGTTATGAAAACAAAGTGTTTTTGAATTGAGGGAGTTTTTGAGTAGAGGCCCAATGCCCACATGCTTCCTTAATACTTAACATATACATATATATACATGGGCCTATATCCCCATCATTATATATTAAGATATTTACATATATACATGCCTATATTTATACATGTCCATGTCTTTTGCCTCCTAGTTCTTTCCTCTATTTCCTTTTAAGTGCCTCCTGTCCCACTATCATGTTTGACCTTCATTTGGCTCTCAGTAATTCTTCTCAGCTACATTGTACTTGATCAAACCCCCCAGGCATCCTATGCCTTCCTCACCATTAATTTTAGATCTCTTGTTGTTCCCTTGCCCCTAGGTTTGTTTGCTCCCCTCTTCCCTGTCCTCCTGGGACTGTCAGTCCCATTGTTTTATCCTCGGGATTGTTTATCTTGCCTATCTCATATAGATAAACATGAAAAAGAAGTAGAAGAAGAACGCCTATAACTAGTTCCAGGTCTGTCTGCTGATCCTTATGTTTCCGAGTCTGATGAGGTGCCAAGCCCTGCCCTCTGAGTCTGAAGTCTATCTTTTGGGATTCCTCAGGGACTTCGTTGTTTTGCTACCCTTGCTGCTCTGTTGTGCTCCTTTCATGTTTGACCCTGGTGGGGGGAGAGGGTGGTCAGACAAGGCACACTTCCCGCACTGTATCTCCAGTGCTGTCCCCCTTAGTGCTGTGGGTCAGTGAGGGGACATCACGTCTCGTGGTGAGGCTGACCCTATGGTCCGCTCTGTGCCTTGGCTACTCTGAGCAGGAATGTCATCCTCAGGGCTTAGTGGACCAGGATGCGGTTCTCTCTCTCTCTATCCCTCTCCCCTTCCCTCCTTCCCTCCCTCTTAGTCTCCTAGCCTGTGTTATGGGCAGACCTGCCACTCTCCCTGGGCTGTATCTTCAGCGCTGTCCTCTGTTGTGCAATCTTCTGGGGAGGGGGTCAACATTGCTGGGATTGGGGCCAGCCCCGCAGACCTGTTAGTTCGTGGCTTCATGCTGGTATGTTGCCTTCAAGGCTGGGCATATCAAGTTGAGGTTTAGTTTCTTATGGCATTGTGTGAATATATCATACTTGATTTTTAAAATATTGGCCTTTTGGGCTATTTCTGCACTTTGAATTTTTGTACTGTTATTAAATAATGTCATTAAGAGCATTCATGTATAATCTATGTGTGGAAGGAAGAAATATATCTGTTCTCTTAGGTATATTTCTAGGCATGTAAATGCCTTTAAAATGGCTTTTTAAAGATGAAATATACAACTTTCCTCTAATTCTTTAACGCTTTCTCCCCACCCCACCCCACCGCCCTCTGCCACACACAATCATGACCCCAATTCTACCTTACAAATCCAGCTAGACCAGAGCATATACATTGCTACAGATAAGAACTGGAAACACAAGGATTCCAGGACAAATAAACCCCTCAGGGCCAATATTGAGGGTTAGGGGAAGGTGGGGAGAGAAAGGGGAAACTGATCACAATGATATATACATATAACCCCCTCCCTAGGGGACGGACAACAGCAAAGTGGGTTAAGGGAGACATCGGTCCATCGGTCAGTGTGAGACATGAAAAAATAATAATTTATAAATTATCAAGGGTTCATGATAGAGGGAGGGGGAGGGGAGGAAATGAACTGATATCAAGGGCCCAAGTAGAAAGAAAATGTTTTGAAAATGATGATGGCAACAAATGTACAAATGGGCTTGACACAATGGCTGTGGTATGGGTTGGTTGTAATAAGAGCTGTCCAAGCCCCCAATATGATGATTAAAAAGAAAAAAAAAGATGCAATGTATTAAAATGTTTAGCCTAATAATCCACGTGCATTGCACATTTAACTCGATACTGTGTTGTTTTGAAAGAATACTGAAAATTATTGTCAGGTATTTATTCCAGCTGTTGTTTTAACTGGGAGGAAACAGAGCGATGGACTGTTTGGAGACAGCAAACCTGTCTGGAGTCCTCTAGCTCTCCGACACGTGGGTGCGGGCGGTGCTGCTGAGTCGAGGCAGCTCCAGTGCTGCTCGCGCTAAGGGCAGCCTGAGAGGTTGCTGGTCTTGTCTAGTCAGTCAGTCAGGAGTGAGCACAGAGCGAGAAGCCAGCCTCCTGCCGGGCAGTGGAGTGCTCACATTGGCTTTGTCTCTGTTGTCCAAGTTGGATGCTCAAAAATAAGAAATAAATATAATTTTTGTAGGTGAATGATCAGGTAAAATTTTTACCGAAAATGCTGCGTAGGGAAAAGCTGACTGGAAAGCGGCCTTGACATCCTGATTTTCAGGAGCAGGAAGAGAAAAATAGGAGTAAAATAAATATTATCATTTTGAGTCTGTGCATAAATGAGAAAGAATTATAGGCATTTGTAAACAGTCAGTTGTCACCAAAGGGCAACCTTAACATCCCTTAGAGTCCGTAGATGTCCTTCTCATCACATTCTAGCATTTATAGATTCATAGCTTTAAGAGGTGGAAGATTAAGTATCATGATATTATCTACATGCTGCCGAATCACACAGTGGATTGTGTAGTGAATCACTTGAACCTTCTAAATGTCATGCAGAATATAGTTTATTCCTCTGACCATGAGTCAGAGTGAAAGTGGGCTCATTCCCTATTTCCAGTAAGCAGTTTCCCACCAGCAGGTGTTGTGCCTGGTGGGAAAGGGGAGGCCGGAATGTACACTTACTCAGGGATCTGGGAAATGTCCGGTTTGGCCCTTGCATCAGGTTGTACACGAGGCCACGGGCAGCTGAGGTTATTGGCAGCACTTCAAGCCACCTCTAAGTTTAGGAGTGACTGCCGATCCTCTCAGAATCTGGGAATCTTGCTCCCTTGTACCAAACTGAGAACAGGTGCATGTCAAGCCCTGTGGTCTAGCAGCTGAATTGAGTGTGTCAGCCCTGCTATTCTCTACGTGATACTGAGCATGCAACCTCCCAGGATCAAAGTCCCTCGTTTGTAGAATTGGAGAGCTAGCTGACCTTTGAAAAATACATTTGTTTCTAAAATGCTATGGCTCTGCAATCTAGTTCAAGCTTAAGATGATAACCAGGTTTGAGATGTCAAATAAGTGGGTGGGGAAGAGCAGTGTATACATAGGAGAGCTTGGGACTTACAGACCTTTGATTCCTGTATGTCATTGCACAAGTTACTTACTTTTCTATGCCTTCTCCATCTTATCCATAAAATGAGGATGATGGTAACAGTACCTGTCTCATAAGATTCTTAGGATGATGAATGTTATTTTGGATGTAAAGTACTCAGCTTAGTACCAGATGCATCATAAGAAATAAAGGCTATTTCTTAGTATCAAGAAGTATTTCATTTTCTTTAAACATCTTTTATTTTATATAGCTCTCCTTATAAGTGAATAAATAACACTCAAATAGACTTGAATAACATTATAAAGTATATAGATTATTCATTTAGAAATGGACTCCTCTACATAGTTTACCAAGTTTAATGGCTGTTTAGAAATGGGATGCTACATTATCAAGGGTGAAAATCAGGATTATTGTTTCTATTTATACTCACGTAGGAATAAATACATGCAGATTGGTCTACTCTGCCCCTGTAAGTTCTGCCACTCTTCTTCCAAGCACTGTTTTGGGGTAAAAAGCAAGGACTTAAGGTCAACAATTTTGTCAAACAGATACTCCAGGTCCTGCCCAGCTTACTGAGAGGATTGCTTTGTACTATCACTATACAATCATGGATGGGTAAAGTATATGAAGGAATTGGTTTAAAGTATAATATTTATAGAACCATAATATTGTGTGAAATATGGTAGGCAAAATTGTTAACTAGGAGTTTGATGGTTGTGGTCTTCGGGATTTCTCAAAAGAAATTAAAAGTCAAGGTGTTTCCAGTGGCTATGTATGTGAGTAAGAGGGACATAACGTAGAGAAGATTATTACGATCATCTGTGAATACGCCTTTTATGTATGTCCTACACCTACTCTATCACCAACTTCCTTTACTCTGCATGACAGGACACTATAAACTCATCAGCGTCTGATGTGAACTGCACAATTCAGAAATGTCTTTTGTCTCCCTTAAAGGTTGCTTTTTACTACCTTGTAATTTTTCATTTAGGGAATGTTCTTTATACCTTTACTTTTTGTACTCCTTTTTCAGGAGGCCAGTTGTAAGAAGGCTCTGCCCATCCTTCTAACAAAAGGCTTAGAGAGAGAGAAGCAAAATATGTCACCAAGAACTAAGGTATGTAACTGGCTATCCATTGATGGAAGATGAAATAGGACCCATATCTCACATAGTGTACAAAATCAGACCCAAGATGGATCAAAGGCCTACATTTGCAATTTAAGCTCTGATACCATTCCCTTCTTTGGATTTGGATTTTATTCTTTATAATCCTTAGATCACACAGGCTGGTGTGATTCTTCCATGTGGACTTGGTTGATGCATCACTTAGCTGACCGCTTGTCTTAAGACAAGCCTTTATGGCACCAGATGCTATTCTTTCTGATTGCTAGCTACCATCTGGTTTCCTCACCACACCTTCCCATAGCACCCACCTCTCCAGTTATCTCTTCATGAGGGTGAGTATTGAGTAAGATTATGTCATATTAATTAATTTTTCCTAGTCTGGAGCTAAAATTAAAGTGTAAGCTCAACATCCATTAGTGTATCTATGGTTTCTATACATCTCTGGTTCACTTTAGCAACATCATCATCGTTTTATAACAGAGAACATTATGAATCATCCCCTGGGGTATAAGGTAATCTATTGATAGTGTAATTAATTTAGCTAATGGTATGGAATTTAAACCACTGTTGAAAAAAGAAAAATGTACAAGTATAGGCCAACTTCAGAGTACATCATGATTGTTGACTTGTGCAGATTAAACACTTTTAACTTACTGAGCACTATTTACATGAAGAATGGGGGTGCTGATAGAGCAAAACTTCCAGTATCACTCACTCACAAAGGCAGAACCATGCCTGCCAGACTAATACATGTTATAGAAATGAAACCTAGGGTGTGACTAGCCTTTCTATCAGACAGAGAGCATTGTGAAGTCGATTATGGCAGATTTATTTAGCTTAAAATGTAACACCTTATCATTTGATCTTCCTTTTGAGCCATTTTAAAGTTTTGTCAGCTTTACTTTCATATTTTTAATATTTTTATTTTTTACTTGTTTTTCTATTGATTTCCTGTTTGTCTAGTCACTGTTGTTGGGTTTTGCATGTTTGCTTGCTTCCTGTTTGTGTTTTAAATTATTTTCTGTATGTGAGATCCATGACAGATAGATCAATAGAAACAGTAACTGGATGGAAAATTGCTTAGAGGAATGGCAGGGGAGGGTGGGGTGGGGAGACAGGGGAGGATGGGGTGGGGAGGCAAGGGAGGATGGGGTGGGAGGCAGGGGAGGATGAGTAGCCAACAATAAGTATGAGGGAAAAAATGTTTTGAAACTGATTGTGGTGTTGATTGTACAATCTTTTTAATATGGTCAAATTAATAATTTGTGTGCTATATGGAGGTTGGGGTGGGAGGGGACCTAAATGTGAAACCTAGAACTAAGACATAAGATATAGGCAATCAGCGTGTATGAGAGATCAGCGTGTATGAGAGATCTTTCCTAGGTTACTTCGAAATACGAAATAAATACATTTTCTCCCAGTGGTAAAATGCCCGAGTGTAATTCTTTCTCTAAAATAGAAATTGCTTTGTTGTTTTTCTATAATTGTGAGACTAACCCATGGTCAATGGAAATCTTTTAAATATATTTTATTGAAAATATAAGAACGGATGGCAACAAATGTATAAATGTGCTTGGCACAAAGGATGTATGTATGGATTGTGATAAGTCGTATGAAAAAAATTTTTTTTAAAGAGTTATAGGAGCCCCCAATGAAATGATTAAAAAAAAAAGAAAAGAAAATATAAGAACTATCACAGATGATAGAATAAAAGATTTCTTATGTGGAATTTCTTTTATTTTAATTAAGGAAATCCACAGCTACATAATTGCTTTGCCAAGGATGCCTGAACACAAAATATATACTGAGAGTGTGAACATTTGTTTGTCCGTCAGAAAAGTCATCCTATTAACCTTGTCACTCTCTACTTCCGAAACTTTAATATTCTCTATTAAGTAGAATTTCACCTACTCACCACTCTAACACGTTTAAAGCTACTTTGATTTTTCCATTTCTAATACAAGAAATTCTCTAGTCTTTCTTTGAATCTATTGTAGGGGAATTTTAAAGAATTTTATGCTTCAAATTCAGTTGCCAGCTATTATAAATATAATGTGGTAGTGTTTTCAAAGGTGAACCAAGCTATTACTTAGTGTTTTATTTATGGTAACAGTTTAAGATTGATTTATGTCGGTTTCTTTAGGACATATTCCACCTTGCTTATCTTCTGAAAAATTGCTTCAGTTCTAAATGATTCTTTCCTTTTAGGATGCAAACTCTTTTGTATATTATCTTGAGTGCAATATTAGTGTTGTCAGACTTACATGTAATGAATTTAAATGTACTACAGGCATTTTGTTTTCATTTAGTAAGAATAAAAATTGACAAAAAATAGTCCACAAACAAATGTGTGGGAGAGAAAACATGTAGGATTTTAGGATAATTTGTTAGCATTTTCTTATTTCCTCTGTTGATCTTGGTATACCCACTTTTAGGTAATGATACCCTTGGTGGATCACTTCCTAACTAAAGGGTATTCTGGAAATGTGTCATAGAAATTGTTTAAGAAAATTCTAATATTTTTATAAAATGAATCTCATTTTGAACATGCCAAGCATATCCAAAGCTAGTCTACCACTCATGTGTCAAGTATGTTGTACAGTAGTAGTTTGCATGTTGTTGTGATGCTGGAAGCTATGCCACCAATATATCAAATACCAGCAGGATTCTCCAATAGTGGGCAGATTTCAGCAAAGCTCCCAGCCTAAGATAGAGTAGGTGGATGGGAATTGGTAGACCACTTATGAAAAATTAGCCAATGAAAACTTTATGAGTAGCAATAGGAAGGTTATATCTTCTGTTATAGTCCAGAAGATGGACCCTCAGATTAGAACGGACTTCAAAATTATAAAAGCATCACTTCCTCAAATTACAATCAACATGGTGGAACAAAGTTTTAGGACATATTTGCTCATGTGAAATGATATAAAATAAGAAGAAATAGCTGCAAATATCCATTAACAATCAGAACATGGAATGGGAATCTAGGAAAACTGGAAGTCATCAAAAATTAAATAGAAGGCATAAAGATTAGTATCGTAGGCATTAGTGAGCTGAAGTGAATTGGAATTGGCCATTCTGAATCAGACAACTATATGGTTTACTATGCTAGGGATGAAAAAGTAAAAAGGTATAGTGTCCCATTCATTACCCAATATCTATAATATATGTATATATTTCAAGATATATCTTAAAGTACAGTGCTACACCAGTTAATACAACTATTACCCAAATTTCTGAACCAAATTTTCAAGCCAGTAATGAAAAAATTGAAGAATTCTATCAACCTCTTCCATCTGAAATTGTTCAAACATGTAATCAAGATGCACTGATAATTACTAGTGTTTGGAATGCAAAATTTGAAAACATAGAGGAAAGATTGGTAACTTGGAAATATGGACTTGATGGGAGAAATGATACTGGAGATGACATAAAAGTGTACTTAAAAACCAATTACTTTATTCATTGCAAATACCTTTTAAAGCACTGTAAACAGTAACTATACAGGTGGCCCTTGCCAGATTGAGTACACAGGAATCCAATTTGTGGAAAGCGATGATAGAAAAGGCCAAAATCGTCAGCAAAAACAAGGCCAATGGCCTGCTGTGGAACAGATCATCAGTTGCTCATAGGCAAGTTCAGGTTGAAGTTGAGGAAAATTTAAACAAGTCCACAAGAGCCAATTTATGAGCTGGAGAATATCTCACCTGAATTCAGAAATTTTGTCAAGAATAGATTTGACAAATTGAACACTTGAGACCAAAGTGCAGAGGAGTTCTGGGATGATATCAAGAATACCATATCTGAAGAAGGAAAGGCATCATTGAAATACTGAGAAAGAAAATTTAGATACTAAGAAATAAAAGAACAACATAGATGTTAGAAGAGACTCTGAAACCTACTTTTAAATATGGAATAGCTAACATGAGTAGACGAAATAAAGTTAAAAAGCTGAACAGATAATGTCAAAGGCAGCTCTAAAAACCATTGTAAATTATTATAACAAAAATGTATAAAGACCTAGAGTTAGAAAAACAAAAAGAAAAGCCACACTCAGCATTTCACAAGTTGGAAGAACTTAAAAAACCCAAACCTTGAGTTGCAATATTGAAAGATTCTATGTGCAAAATACTGAATGGTACATGAAGCATCAAAAGAAGATGTACCAAAAAATAAATAGTCGACATTCAAACATTTCAAAAGCTAGCATAGAATGTTGAAGAACTGATGGTATTGAAGGTAGTCCAAGCTGCATTGAAAGAATCAGCAAAAAACACAGGACCACAGGAATTGACAGAATATCAATTGAAATATTTCAATATACTAATACAGCCCTGGAAATACCTACTAGTCTTTGCCAAGAAATTCAGAAGATAGCTATGTGACCAATTAATTGTAGGAAATCTATATTTGTGCCCATTCCACAGAAAGGTGACCCAACAGAATGCAGAAATTATCAAACAAAATTATTGATATCACATGCTAATAAAAGTTTTCTAAAAACAATCCAATAGTGTTTGTTACCATACATAGAGAGCTACACAGAATTCAAACTACATTTAGAAGAGAACACAGAAGAGAGATCACTTGTCAGATCAGTCTTGACTGAGAGCAGAGAACACCAAAAAGATGTTTGTGTATTTTTATTGAATATGCAAAGAAATTTGACTATGTGAATCACAACAAACTATTGATAACATTGAGAATAATGGGAATCCTGAATGCTTCTTTGTGCTCATGCAAAACCTATATATATAAGCTAAGAGGCAGAGAGGAGGAGAATTAGGGAACACTGAACAGCTTAAAATCAAGAAAGCTGTTTGTCAAGGTTGTACCCTCACTCTCAGTATTCGATCTGTAGGTTGAACCAAACATCTGACCAGCTGGACTATGTGAAGAACTCGGCAGCTTGTTAATGGACAAGGTGCAATATGCCGACGGTACCACCTTGTTTGCTGTGAGTGAAAAGGGCTTGGAAAAGATACAAGGCC